CCCAGCCCCGCCGCGCGCCGCGTTGCTAAGGAGCGCGTCGTCCCTCCGCGACGCGGGGAGGCCCCGCCCCCTCACAGTCCCTTTAATAGCCGCGGATGGTGACGTCATCGGCGGGCGACGCGCAGCGCGTCCCGGGCGGCGCGGTTGCCATGGAGACGGCGGCGCGGTTGCCGGGGGAGCCCGGTCAGCCACTAACCTGCACAATTCCAACTCAGGTGAAAGACAGAGTTACATGTGGAGAATTGCATCATTTCTAAAAAGTAGCTTCCTTTCTCTCCTTCTCTCCCAAAATCCAGGAGGGGAAAAACATGAATGAGGCAAAGGAGGCTCTAAGAAACATAGAGCAGAAGTACAAGCTCTTCCTGCAGCAGCAGTTTACGTTTATCGGAGCACTGCAGCACACCCGAGAGAACGCACATGACATGATCAGACCCGTGGCAAGCATCAGCCAGGTACAAAGTATTGAGCACAAAGTTCTCTGCCGATGAGAACAGGGACCAACACGGTGCTGTCGCGCACTTGGGTCTAGTTCAGGGATGAATAAATGTTTTTAGTAAGGGAAGACGTGCAAAAACTCTCTAGTAACATTCAGGTGTAACTCTGCAAACCAGTACCAAAAAAAGATTGAGGAGAGAAATACTGACGTCAGGTCTTCTCATTTGCAGAGAAGGAATTTTATCGCTGAGCATCACTTTATGATTTAGTTTAACACCGTCATTTCGCTGCTGAGGCATAGCCAGAAATACAGGGTACAAGAAAACAATCAAACCACCCCTCCTTCCCCAGCCACACATGGAATCTGTAATCCTTAACTTGTAGTAACCAGCATTCTTGCCTCTTCCCCCTGGTATTGGTGCTGCTGTATCTTTCTATAGTGCTTATTAAAAATAATGGCTGTGTTACAGAGGTAGGATGATGGATTGAGGGCTGAAAGTCCCAAGTGGGCTAGGGGTTTTCTGGGCTGGTAAGTGAATTGTCTAGGAATTTTTATAACATGGGATGTTTTAAGTAGTGTGAAGAACTTAGACCGCTGGCACACAGAAGGGAAAGAAAAATCTAAATAAAATTAGAATTGTGGATGTGAGACAGCAGAACCCAGGCACAAAACCCAGATGGATGCCAAAGCCAGAGCAAAAGCCAAGCTGTTATTAAGGATTAGGACACAGAAGTGAGCTGGTTGCCTTTTCTAATGGCTGACTTTCTTTAATATAAGGGCTTTGCTTGTAACATTGAAGAGGATCGAGACAGACCTTACATTGAACCATTTTTTTTTCAAAAATAGGCATTGAGATTTTGTATAACATTATGCTGTTTTTTAAAGCGCCAATATTTCAGTGGTATTGAGCAAGTTTGGACTCTGCTTCTTGGAAAGCTTGCTTGTTGTGGGGAGGGGAAACCTTGTAGGTAACGACTTTAGCAATTCCATTGATCCACAGCACCATTTGTGATACAATAGCACGTGACAGTGTGGTGGCAAACTGTACTGCCCTGAGGGTACAACCACTTTACCCCAGGGGAAGGACAGGAAAAGGAAATAGAGCAAGTTAATGGGGAGAAAAGGGAGTAATTGGTGCAGCACATACTGGTGATGCATTGTGCAAAGAAAGTTCACTAGGTACAAAACCAGACATCTATTTGATTTTACCACCATTCTCTGGAATCAGCCCAACTTTTTATTTTTAATTTTGCTTGGGAGGGCACAAGAATGAAAGCAACAAATGCAGAAATATGTGTGCTCTCAGCATGCAGCTGACTTTCTTGGGGTACATGGAAACTACAGGAAAAAAATGGTATTGCACCTAGATGGGAACAGAGCTGCATTTCTAACCCCAAAAAGCTGTACCCTTTTTAGTGTTGAGTGACATTTCTCAGAGAAAAGAGGAGAGCATAGTAAGGTAGAAAGGTCAAAGAGCACACCACGGTAAGGCAATGGCAACAGCTCCTGAAGACTTGTGGATGGTGTGGGGTATAAAATCAAATCCCAAGTGGTTTTGTGAGATGAGTTCTTCAGTCATTGCTCCAGCCAGAGGTTGAAATCACCCAGCGAGTCCCTGCACTGCAGAACCTGGCTGTGGTCACGACACTGGTCCTGTACAGGGGCTGTCCCTGATCTCCCCTGGCTGCAGCCCAACTGCCCACCAGCAGTTGGGTAATGCAGGGACTTCAGGAGCAACAGCTCTGATTAGGCAGGGGCATTAACTCTCTGTTGTTGATGTGGACAACATGAAGTCCTGTTATCCCACTGGTGAACATCCAGGCTAAAACGCTATTCTCTTTAGGACTATTTTTGCTCACAGCAGCAATAAAAAATCCTGCCACTCACACAGACACAACGCTCAGTGAACAGTGTGGAAGGAGGAATCTGTAGTGGAAATGGACCCTTAGGGGCCATTTTTTATTCTTCTTACAAACCTGCTGAGAATTTGCCCAAGCACAGAGCGGGGCTTTTCTGTATGCAGGAACTGTACCCATGTTGGAACAGCTACTTCGTTCTTGTCTTGAAATCTTTCAGAAAGCACTGAAGATGTGAGAGTCCAGCTATGACTGCCAACCAGCTGCTCAGTATTTTATATTCTGACCACTCGTGTCTGAAGTGCCTGTAATTTCTTTGGAGAAGATGCTTAATCTCTTGGCATAACATTTCATCACGCAATGCCATTCACTCTGAGTAACAAAAATGCTCAAGGCAAATAGGGAATATCATTGCTGTAACAGGTTAGTAAGGACAATTTGGGTTAAATGGGTTTAGTTTGCAGCCACATCTAGTGATGCCAAATAAAGAACCACAAAGAATGCATGATGTAAACCATCACTCCAAACCATTCCCAGTTTGGCTGCTGCCCTCACCTCCCACCCGGCTTTGCCTCGGCAGAGCTGTGGCAGTGACAGAGAGTGCTCTGCTCAAAGCAGACAGAAAACTCCCCTCACGCTGAGCCTGTTTCTGCAGCACTTGCAGCAGAGCTGGGGTTTTGGCTGGGTACTCCTACATGTCTTCAAAGGGGGAGGAAGGCTCACTGGTGTGCTGAGGAGCACATCCGTCACCCAGCCTTCTTCAGGCGTGATGAATGACAGTCAAACAGCTCAGGCAGGCTCTAGAAAGCTCAATACCTGCTTCTGTATTGCAGTTCCCATAGTGGCTCACACCTGCAGAGTCACAAGAGAAAGCATCTTCTCGTTATTAACCTAAGCAACTTTGCAGCAGGGTGTAATTTAACATGCATGTCTTTTGTCTTTCCCCACGTACAGGTACAGTCCTACATGGACCATCACTGTAACAACGCCACGGACAGGCGTATCCTCACCATGTTCCTCAACATCTGTAATGATCTAAGCAAGCTCTGCCACAAGCTGGAAACCGTGCACTCTGGAAACACCGTAACCAATGACATTTTGGAGAGGTGCAAGCAGCTCCTCCGCCACAGCAACGATCTGAGCGCCATCAGAGCCAAGTAGGTGTCTCCCTCACCTTCGTTTCTTTGAGGCAATTGTCAATGCTGGGGGGCTGTCACAAGAATGCAGACTCCCCACTCCTTCATTTCTGTTACACCATCTTTCTGGCTTTAGGGAGGGTACAAGGTGCTACCCAGTTTTCTATTCCAGCTGTTGGGAAAACGTTGCCAGCCTCCATTCACAAGAAAGGGGTTTGTTTGTTTATTCAATCATTTTACTGATGCACCAAAAAAAAAAAAAAAGGCATATACAGGCAGGTGAGTACATGAAATCCCATGCAATGCTCAGGCAGTTTACCTCCTCCTTCCTCCTCTGCATGGAGCTAATTTCTGTAAGGCAAGTGTCTACGTGCTCTTGAACTCTTCAAGGTCTAGCCCAACAGCCAGGATGTTTGGGGTTATTCATTTAGCAAGATGTAATTCTATCTATGCCTTTTTGTTTTGGGGGAAATGGCTGGCTGTGAGTTTCTGATCTTCCCAGGGGGTCTCTGGGTGGCCCTGTTGGCTCTCCAGGGTTGTACTGCTGGGACCAGCCTGCCAATTGTTTCCTTCTGTCCCACAGATACCCCCATGACGTTGTGAATCACCTGAGCTGTGATGAAGCAAAGAATCATTATGGAGGTGTGGTAAGCCTCATCCCCATCGTTCTAGACTGCATGAAGGAGTGGGTAGCCCACATTGAGAAGCTGCCACAGCGCACGCCGTATAATGTGAGTGGTGGAAGTGCTATCTCTGAGAAGAGGGAACCCCAGGATGCACCAGCTAGGGCAACCACTTCCCAAACACCACATTCTGGGCATCTTGAGACTCAAATCTCAACTAGTAACAAAGATAATGTACAAGTGCAGGGGAACGAGCATGTCTGGAAGAAGAACCTAAATGACACAGAAAAACACAGTGGGAAACGTAAAGGTCCCTGGAAACCACCAGGCAGACACGCCTTTTAAAGAATCAAGGTTCATGCATCTTCTGCTTCCCACCTTTAATCAGGTGGCTGATTCAAGACAGTGAATGAATAGTAGAGATTCTGCCTGAGTCCACTTTGTGAAGATTAGCCCTGCGAGCCAGCCTTGCACAGATACATGCCCTCCCTTGCTGATGTTTCCACTCTCCTACTTAAAGAAGCCGTGCCCCAAGTGAAGTAGCTGTAACACTACAGCTGGTCCCTTTGACCAGTGCTGCGGTAGCAGGGGACAGGCAGGAGCAATCAGGTTCCAATCACTCAGATAGAAATCTTGGGCAAGCAACTTCAAACAGGATTTTAAGCTTCCTCAGCCTTTTTTCTGAGGAGCACCCACTCACTGGCTGAAGCCGGAGGTGTAAAGAACCTACATGTCTGAAGGTCATGATGCAGAGCAGCAAAAGCCTCTCCTTATAGATTCAGATATTTGTTTGAGATTTAGACTTGTCCCTAAAGTCCCTTCACCCCCATTGAAATTGCCTGGTTATTTGATCAAAGAATCAAAATCTATAGGACACTAATGATGTCTCCCTTACATGCCACTGGCTACAGGAAAGGTCAGCACACTTTAGCTGCACTGACTGGGCTCTGCTGCATCCTTCTTGCAGGACTGCTGCCTTCTCACACCCTTGCCAGCACACACCACTCACAACATCTTCCCTTACACTCGTTTGACTCTTTTGCTGCCAGAGCTAGAGATGTAAAGGAGGACAAACTTCATTTTTCACTTAGTTTGGTGTACTGACAATACCCAAACTTGAATAAAACACCCCTGTCCTCCCCAGAGCTCCGTAAAGCCAACAAAGTCATTTCTAGTCAATATGATTCATGGGAATCTGGTGGGAGCAGAGAGACTGAGAAAGCTGTGGCCATTTTCAGACCATTCCTTTTCACGTTGCAAGTTAAAATGTCTGTGCTTTCCCTTTTTCGAGATGAGAATCCAGCTTGCCTTGCTTTCAAGGATGTTAGGAGGCTTAGTTCATTTGAAACAGTCTCATGCTGCTTTTATACCAGCACTTTATGATCTCAGCACAGTGACTAGACCAGTGCAGAGCACAGCTTCATTTCCAGTCTGCTTAGAGAGAGGCAGCAGAGTCCCAGGCTCTCCCCATTTTCTGGAGCTGGTGTGCATTTTTGGTGGTGCTTTTATTCAAGCACTGTTAAGTACAGAACTTAAGATTTCAATAATGTGGCGTGTCTTCCCTGTCTCTGACTGCTCTTTTCCCCTCACACAGGCAAATTAGCTCCTGTCCTTTGCTTCTTGCTGGAAGACACTGCTGAATAAACAACTTCCCCTTGCATACCTGGCTCAGTTTGCTAAAATTGTTAGAAAGCTTTTGCCTTAAGATGACCAGATTTTGGCAACAAGCAGCCAAAAAAGAAGGGAGATTAATACAGAGGAGGGAACACAGGAAGGAATGTTAGCTCAGATGAAATGGGAAGTGTTTTCAGGAGCATTTATTTGTATTCCTCACACAACCCCACCTTCTTTGGCACTTTTTTCCCCTTCCCCTGTCCACGCGTGCTGCAATGCAATACACCTATCCATGCTGCAGCAGAAGCCTATCTTTAGGAGACATCATGATCCAACTGAATAGAACCTTGGTGAATTCCAAAGGGTAATGAAGCTCACCAGGGTCACACAGAGACACTCAGGCACTACTGGGGTCACAGCCAGCAAAATGTGACCGTTGCCCTCTCAGGCTTTACTGGAGCACCCTGTTTCAGAGGCAGCTTCAGGCAGCGAAATCGAAGTTGGTTGCAGCTGCCCTGTTGTGTTTCATGGTGCAAAGACAAGTGTCTGATGACAGCTGCTGTCTTGGGAAGCTTTTCAGAACAAGTACACACTGCGTGGACACTTGGGGACACAAGAGACGCTATTCCCAGATCTTGTTTCCGACCTTCCTCACCCTGTTGTATGGTTTAAATTTGAACACACAGGCTCTGATGAGGCCAAAATTATCCTCCAGTTTGTAATTCACTTCCAGCTTTCCCAGCACAGCACAAATTACTTGTCAGGATGGTCCCATCAAACCCTGTCCACCACCTCCTCACCCTGCTCTTCAAAATGCCAACGCAGGTGTCCATTTGTACTTCACCAAGGTAGCGACACATGCAAGAAACACAGTTCCCAAACCTTAATAAAATTTCTGCCCTGGCCTTATCCTTTCAAACAGTCTTAAGAGGCAAAATTTTAAGACATAAGCAGAAAAATGAGAGCATAAAACTTGCAGTCTGAGGCTTGGTAATGACATGACCAGAATCTGCTGGAAGACTGCAAAGTTAAGTCTCACAAAAACATCTAGACAAATTACTTAATTTCCATACAAGTTCTCCTCTTCCAGAGTGGATGGACACTTCAAAAGACAAAAAGGTACAGCAAGAATTGTTTTTCTCTATTACAAATCAAGCTGTTTGAAGAATTTACATAAACAGGATGTAAATGCCAAACACAGAAGTGCAATAAAGTTTTAGTTTAGCCTCCGTGAGCATAAAATTCCAAGATACACACTGAGAAACCAGGCAGGGCACCAAAGTGACTTACCTAGAGATCTGTCAGGTAGGCCAGGAAATAAATGCTGCTTTTTCGTTCAAAGACTGAAATAGCAATAGGGGCTGCTAGTAGATGATCTCAACAGAAACCAGGCATCTCCAGGCTATAAATTACCTCTGTGCTCCCCTTGATTCAGCCAAGGGTCAAAATCAGGCTTTGCTCAGCCTGTAACCAGACCAAAGTACCCTCCACGTTACACACCTGGTCCTAGGATCTCCCAGACAGAGCAGGGGGGGTTTGGCTCAGACCCCAGGGAGTGAAGATCAATTGTTGGAAGTGGTGGGGGGCTCTTAGGGAATGAGAAGGGGCGATTAAAGGGAGAAGGGAAACTCAGCATCCCAAAAATCTGTCATTAAAACCAATGTAGAGCAAAGTGGTGGCTTCGTGGGGCCTCTAGTGGCCGCAGGCGGGAAGCAGTGGGGCGAGGGATGGGGCGAGTGGGGCCAGGGCTCCCCGCACCCTCACATTACCAGCCAGAGGGCAAAGGCTCTTAAAAGCCATTTTTAACAGGTTCCAACAATTCAGCCCCAAATCGAGAGGGGGGTTTGAGGTTTGTGCACAGGCTGCGGCCCCACAAATCCCCCAGGAGACAGGGGTGGCTGTGGGACCAACCACCCCCCACCGCTGGGATTTCAGGAGTGCAATGGGTTGTCCCTGTTCTCACCAGCCCGGTCGGTCAGGTCACCACTCTATTAACACACCGTGACCAGCAGGATGGCTCTGAACTCACTGGGTGGTGGTGGTGCAGCACCAGTTTGAACTGGGCTTTCAGCCGGGTGAAAACCAAGCAGCAGCCACCGCCGAGACAGAGCACGGAGCACTTGGAAGAGCCCATAAATAGTTTGGCAGCCATTAAAGATCAGCCACCGAGTCCAAACCCAGAGCATGCTCTGTGTGAAAACCAAGCAGCAGCCACTGCCGAGACAGAGCATGGACCACTTGGAAGAGCCCATAAATAGAGCTTGGCAGACAGTAAAGACCAGCCACCGAGTCCAAACCCAGAGCATGCTCTTGGACTGAAGAGGACTTCAAGCCAAAACCAAGTAGAGCTCCCAGACACCAAAATCATGAAGACCGTCAGTCAAAATTATTTGGAATAAAGTTTTATCTGAAAAATAAAGCCTATGTGAATGTAACTAAACTTGTAAAGCTCCTGCATGTCTGAAATAATTCAACTCCTCCTGATATTCTAAACTATTTTCTAACCACTTTTAAAATCCACCAGCAGCTAAGAAATTCCAATAAATCAAAATCAATCAGCAGAATTACTTTACATTCAGGAAATAAAATTATTTCCTTCCCTCATGGCTACTGCATGTTTATTGCTGGGTTATGAGCTACCAAACACACTACTTTGCGTTAGTAAGGAAGGCACTTTAGCTTTCTTACTTTTAAAATCCACCGGCAGCTAAGAAATTCCAATAAATCAAAATCATTAAAATCCACCAGCAGCTAAGAAATTCCAATAAATCAAAATCAATCAGCAAAATTACTTTACATTCGGGAAATAAAATTATTTCCTTCCCTCATGTCTACTGCATGTTTATTACTGCGTTATGAGCTACCAAACACTACTTTGCGTTAGTAAGGAAGGCACTTTAGCTTTCTTTTTGTACCCTACTGGATGTACTTCTGTGGGTAATACATATCTATTTTTATTTTTTACACTACCAAGTGCAGCCTTTCAATGCTAAGCTTGTTGAAGGATATTCAAAATGGATTTAAAAAAAATTATCAGCAAGTCACTTTCTGCTTTTCTTTCTTTTCACTTATCCCAACACAGAAGGCCCAAAGACAACTTTCTGTATCACCTAACTCCAAGACAATGTTTATGGCAACTTTTACGTAAAATTCTCCATAAGCACCAGAGTGTGTTCACAGACAGACTGTAAATCACTCGTGCCATCCCTTTGTGCACGTTGTTTGAATTTAAGAATTGTGCTCAATCCTTACCTGGAATGTCGATGTTCATGTATAAATTTCTAAGTTGCTTTGAGCAACCTTTCAGATATTCATTTCAGAAAAACAAAACCCGTAAGAAAGCGCCAGTCTGAAAAAAAAAGAAAGAACAAAGTAAGAAAACCACCTTAACCTAAAAGGTTAAACCTACTGTAAAACAGCCCCAAAGTTCCCTTGGTTTAAGAACCTGTCCCTGGTGTGCAGTGACTGGGAGCAGGTACAGAAGGGAAAAGCAAAGAGACGGGTCAGAGAGGGGTGGCCGGATTCCGACAGCCCTTGGGTGTGCAGTGACTGGGAGCAGGTACAAAAGGAAAAAGCAAGGAGATGGGTCAGAGAGGGGTGGCCGGATTCCGACAGCGTCCCCAGCTCCGCAAACAACAACCTCTGACACTTCCAGGTATTAATTTTTCTAATCACTGGGTAGTCTCTAGACTACCTGAACAATGCCACGCAGAAAGCTCCTCAGCAGATTTGCAGTACTGGATCGTTTGCAGTTAATTTATGGATTATCATTGGCATGTCATCATTGAGCTTGTTTTTCACAGATGAAAAAAAGGCTTTGGCTCCATGCACAAAAACGAGCTGCTAAAAAAGAACCCCGTGCAAAAAAAGGCAGAACCACTTACCTGCTCTGCACAACGTGCATCTTGGAAAATGCTTTGATACTCAACTTGTTTCTGCACGTTCTGTCTCAGCACAGAAGGAGTTGGCTTGTAGGGAATTTAACACAGAGTAGTGCAAAACAATACATTTTATTTGTTCACAGTTAAACACAAGCAACTGCCTTGACATTTTAGAACATTCTAATAAGGACAGCAAAACCTCCTTTTGGTTTAAGTTCTCTTTTAGCTTACGATTGTACCATTTCCTCGTATTTCATATTTATGGCATTTAATGTGGATTGTTTAACATGCTTACAAAGAGCGAGGCAGGGAACAGATTAACTTGACAAAGACAGCAATTTTAGATTTAACTAAAAGCAGTCAGTTAAAAAAATCTGTTTCCACTTCACTGATGGGACCCCTTCAAACAAACTGCAAGTTAACTACATACAGCAGATCCATGATTTTTAGACTTACAAAAAAAAAATTGCAAAATTTGTTCCTCCATAATCTTTGTGGTCCATAAACAAACCTAAAGTGGTTTCCGTTACTATCCCGGTGCTAAAATCCTTTTTAAAAGAAGAAAAAAAAAGCCACCTTATCAATGAGCTCACGTTACCGCCAGGGCATTTTTTTTGTAACCGACAACAAAAACCGCCTCCTCAGAACAAGTGAAGTCATCGTAGAAGCAAGATACCTTTTGGGGCTCAGCAAAGCAGAAGGACACACTAATGACAAGGGCATCCAACGGCCGAGCCAACCCTTCATGGGCAACAACAAACCGTTCACTCCTGGGGCTGGGACCCGGTGGGGCAAGGGGCAGGAAACCTCCAAATCTTACCGAAACATACGCTACCACGTTTGCTACCACTAAGTCTTAGAAAGCCTATAGACATGTCGACAAAACCAGTCTGTTCACTTACAACCAACTCTCTATTTTCTATTCCATGCAGATTCAAGCTTTGACAAAACCACTGAAGTTCACCTTTACTTTCAGGAGTTAGGACTGACCAACCGCAAGGACACTGAGAAGAGTTTCCACAGGCAGAAATGTGTTTAGACCCTTGGTGTTACAGAAAAAGCAGAAATGGAAAGGAAAAGTACTGTCAAGTGCAAGTTAGCGTATTACCAGCCACTTCGACAGAGTCCTGTTACTACTCAGGTTAAGAAGGGGGTTGAACTACAAGTGCAAGTGAACTTGGACTTGATTTAAATGTGAGACGACTCTTAAACAGCAGCTGCCACCCACAGAATGTTTAAGAAAAGAGGCCACGTGTGATGCAGGGTAACTGTGAAGCCTGATATGTCTAAGTATGCAAAGACCCAGACATATCTAACATTTAAAAGAAGCACACTGCCTTCCCAACAGCGGGCTCCGTTCTGTCCTGAAGGAGATTGAGTCTGACCACCAACAAGCCCTGATCCCACAATCCTCCTTCACAGAAGGCTCATCATTGACTTAAAACATGATTGATGCAGAAAGGCTTCACGACAGAATTCTCAGTTTGAGCAGGCTTCCTCCTCAGCCTTGTCTTCTGAGGAAAAGGGATGAGGGTGAAGGGGAGATACCTAGAGCCCAAATTGACATTGCTGAGCTGAAAAATGCGCCGCAGACTGAGCAGAACAGCACTCAAAGGAAACCATATCCTGTAAGTCAAGCCTGAAAACGTATCCCCAGGAAGAATGAAGCCAATTTCTTGGACTCAAAACACAGTGGTCTTGCTCAGACCGGGAACAAAGACCAGAACTATGAAGGAGGGTCAGGCAGCACAAGTATTTCTCCCATTAGAGAAACAAACGCTCTTCTGCAAATCTTCATAAGCTTGCAATCCTACACACGTGTTCCGCACACTCTCCCTACTTCAGTAAAGCTTCCTTTTCCCTCCTCTCCCACCCCAGTTGCTTTCCCATACGAACCAGTCTGAGGTCAGTACCAGTCTGTCAGGCAAACACTTAAAATACCAAAAAATCAGAAGCTAGTGTTTTATCAAGTCTTCAGCATATACGGTCTCTTCTGCATTACAAGCTCCAGTTCCTTATTAAGTGTCTGTTCAAACGCAAACTTTCCAGGAAATGTTAAGGACAATATAAACAATGACCATGAATTAGGGTGAATTAATCGTTTTGCAGAGGTACACTGTTCTTTAAATGTTTAGGTATTCAATCAGAGTCCAACTTAATGAAGATTGGGCTCTGAGGGGTGTGGGACAGTGGGTAGGCAAAATAGAGACCTTTAGATGAACGCACTAGAAATTCTAGCGCTGCTTCTTTCCAGGATGAAAGCAACCAAAGTCATCCGGACAGGCAGCACAATTAACTGCTTCTAAATTGGAAGCTTGCAAGGAAATACAAAGCATTCAGAGTAGACTCACAAATGTTAATTTGGCCTCATATTGCACTCAAGTTCATAAACGCAGCCACTCAACTGGGGACAGGGAGAAAGGGAAAAAAATACTTGCAAACGCTAACAGTTGTCCCTTCAAATTAGTACACGCTGCTAAAGACTGGGTTTGAGAAAGAAGCAGGAGTTAGGCTGGGCGTTTCAATTCCAGACCCAAAAAATTCCACTTTGCATTCATTCAGCAGCCTTTTTTTCCGTTTCTGGCCATCAATTCTGTTCCGCTGCATGAGCTAGCTGCTCAGACCAAAGAAACATAAAAGCTTTTAGTTAAACTTGCATTCACGCCTCCTGTTCTATGCCAAGAATATGAAAATAACACTGATTGACTATCTTCCTTTTTAACTGTGGTCATGATGAGTTTCATTGTAGTCCATGATATGAAGCTGTCCAACACTGCTCTCCTGGATCTTAGGCGAGAGGCTAAGGTTATCGGGGCTCGGAGGGGCCTTTGTCTCCATGTTCAGATCTTTACATAGTTCAGTCTTTAGCGCCTCAGAAAGCCTGTTGATGGTTACACCCTCCTCATCACACTGGCTCTCGCTCTTGTTGCGAAATAATTCTCGGGCCTTCATTCCAAGGAAGCTCTTGGAGCTGGGGAGTGAACCTACAGTCAGTGGGACAGTAGTCGAGGGCTCCAGCAACACGGATGTCTCCCAGCGACTGCTGAATCTCTGGTGCTGGGGTTTTTCTGGGGTGGAGAGCTCGCTGCCGCTGCCCCCCTTACTGCTACTGCTACCTCGAGTGCTGGGAGGTTTGGTCTCTCCATTTCTACCAATTGTTTCTTCGCTGTACCCCGGCACAGTATCTTCATTACCACAGTCCAGCCTGTTTTGGAAAGAAAGAGGATACAGTGTCAAGGAATCTGCAGCAACTGTTTACAGCTGAAGGAGAAATGCTGGCGAGGGCAGGTTACTTTGATTACTTTCCATTTTTGACACCACGTATTTGCTTTAACAGTTCTCCCCTCACCATTTTGTAGCAAAGCAGAAGTGACAGAGAATAACGAGAACGGTGTCACACACTCAGCTTTGCAACATCCAGTGTTTTAAGTCCCAAACTGACAATAATTCCAAAGCAGAATGGAACTGGATCCTCATCAGTTGAGGCAGAGGAAGGCATTTGTACAGCCTCCTTGGATCTAGATTTTTCTTTGACCTGACCCAAGCACAGGTGATTGCCATACACCTGCTGGCAGTGCAAGAACTTCTCCTGATGCTGCAGCAGAACTTGGTGTAGGAAAAAAGGTGAAAGTACAGGACTCCCTGGACATTTTAGGCAGACATATGTAAAACAACTGCTTCACAACAGTGTAACAATTTACAGATTAAAGAGATTGGTACAGGAGGCAAACCAGAGGCTTCTCTCAAACTTTTGAGTAACAATTCAGCTATCTGAAATGGACTTCATGAGCACTTCCAATTTTATCAATGACTCTCAGTAACCTGGGCAGAGCTCTGAAATAGATTCAGTCTGTAAAAGGGGAAGGAACAGAAACATTTTGAGATGCTGCATCCAAGTGCTGGGAATTCCACAAGGCTATCAGCTTCCAAGGAGCTGGTCATGAGTCCAGTGTATTTTACATCATCACCCTTACCTTTCTTCTGCTGCTTCAGCTGCTTCTGCTCTTTCATCTTCAAGTTTTTTCAGGAGGCTGCTTTTCTCCAGCCGGCCAAACAGATCCAAGATCTCCAGCTCAAATGCCTGCGTGATTCTTTTCTGGGCCTTGTACCTACTTTCTACCGCTTGCAGCTGACCTCTGGAAGAGAAACCCAGAACCATCAGGTTCAGTGTCTCCAGATTCTGCCACAAATGTGTGTCTGTCAACGCATGGTTAGAATTTTACATAGGAAGCTCCTACCTTGCTTGGATTTTGACATCTTCCAGGTATTTCTTTTGCTCTAGGAAGAGGTGGTCCTTTTTAGCAAGCTGCGATTCCAGTTCAGCTATCCGTTTCTGGGAAGCATCAAGCCTTTGGCTTTGCTGTTGAACACACAATTTTGCTTTGTCCAGTTCTTTCCGTAAAGCAGCGTTCAACATATTAAACTCCTCGAAGGAAAGAACATAATGTTAAAGTATAATTTGTGCGTTATTTTTATTAATATTTAGACATGCTTCTCATGCTATAAATAGGCATATTTTTTTACGCAGGATGGAATAAAAGAAGCATTTCTAAAAACAGATATAGAAAACTGGATACTCTGAGGATGTACACTATTAAGTTACTGTGAAAAGAACTATACA